GTTCTATCCTGGACTGTCTTCTCCCTATCTACTACTTCACTTGGTGATCTCATCAGCTTCCATGGATTGAATTGCCATCTCTATACTAAGGATTATCAAACCTACTTATCCTGCCCCAAACTCTATTAATCTCCACTCTTGCATCTCCAGCTGCCTTTCAGACATCTCAAACTGGATGCCAGTAGACATATTAAACTCAACACGTCCAAAAGAGAACTTATTATCTTTCCCCTTAGTTCCCCTCACTCCCCCCGCCCGTTACTGTAGAGGACAATACCATTTTCTCACTCCCTCAGGCTCACAACCTGGGAGTTATTCTGATTTCCTCACTACCTCTTATCTGTCTACCATATACACTCACTACCTCTTATCTGTCTACCATATACAATCTGTTGCCAAAACCTGGCATTTTCACCATTGCAACATCTCTCAAATATGCCTCCTTCTCTCCTCTGACACTGCCATCGCTCTACTGCAGGCCCTCATCACCTCACACCTGGACTATTGCAATAGCCTGCTGGTGTGCGTGCCTGCCTCAAGTCTCTCCCCACTCCAGTCCAACCTCCATCCAGTTACCAAAGTAATTTTCCTAATGCACAAGTCCAAACATATCATCCCCCTACTTGTTAACTCCAGTGGCTCCCTTATTTCCTCTAAGATCAAATATACAATACCCTATTTGGCATTCAAAGCCCTTTATTACCTAGCCTCCTCCTACCTTTCCTTGTCTTCTTACACCTTACTCCTTGTCACATACTCTTCAATCCAATAACACCAACCTCCTGGCTGTTCCATGAACAAGACACTCCATCTCTTGACTTTTGGCATTTTCTCTGTGTCCCAAATGTCTGGAACAGTCTCTCTCAACTTTGCTCACTGATTTCCCTGGCTTCCTTTAAGTCCCAACTAAAATCTCATCTTTGACAGGAAATCATTCCCAACGCCTCTTAATTTTAGTGCCTTCCTTCAGTTAATTGTTTCCTATTTATGCTGTATATAGCTTGCTTTGTGTATATTTAGTTGCATGTGGTCTCCCCAATTAGATTATAAGTTCCTTGAGGGAAGGGAATGCCTTTGCCTCTTTTTGTATCTTTTTCTATTTGCTTAGCAAAGTGCCAGGCACACACACAACAAATTAATAAATGTTTACCGATTGATTGTATTTGTATGAGAAGTAGGCTATTGCAACACATAAAAAGTCTACCAGGAAACTGGGATTTGATACTAGGCACTGACACATAATGGCAATGTGACCCTGGGTAAGTCATTTAACCTCTTAGTTCTTTAGGCAATTCTCTATGATTATTAAGTAGCAAAGAAGGTGTCAACTAGTCTTTAAAGAGGGCGTTTCCTCATCCAGGGATCCCCAATAAAATGAAACCAGAGGTCCAGGTCCTAGCCCAGTTGTAAAATTATGTATGTATGTATATGCTATCACTACTAATAAAATATGTGACAGCAGCATAAGGGTAGAAGTTGTTGCATTTTTATTTTGCACTACCAATTCTTAATTTAAACCCTATGTCAATAATCAAGTTTTACAGGGAAAAAAAATACTAAAAGCCTAAATAATTCACAAAGTTCTCTTTCAACTTGCTTTGTTTTAACTTATTGCACTTATCTTTTCTTCTAAATGATCACACATCACAACTTTAATGTAAGCACATTTATTTAAGAACTATTCAAGAAATCACTAAAATTCACTTTTTTGAGGGAAAATATTACTAATTTTAATTCAAATGCCTGTCCTTGTTCTACCCACAAGAAGTAGAATTTGGCTACAGATCCTTTTCAAAATTGTGAATATTTGGGAATACTTTGAAAATTGTCAATTCCTGTTCAGAAAATAAAGCTAAGTTGATTCATATAGTCATTAGTTTTACTTTGCCTTATAATTACTGAATTATAATCATTCAATAATATTAAGGCATTGAGGTATTGAGGAAGCCAGGTGGTGAAGCAGAGCAGACTGGGCCCAAAATTCAAATCCAGCCTCAGATACTTACCAGTTTTATGAATCCTTGATCAGGCCCTTGTTTGCCTCAGTTTCCCCAACTGTAAAAAACAGATAATAGCACCTACCTCTAGGGTGGTTATGAGGCTCAAATGAGATATTTTAAAATGCCAGCTAGTTATGTATTTTATTATGCAAATTATATGTTAGAAAACTACAATAATAATTCTTAACTCCCAAACTTTAAAATTCAGCCAATTAATAAGTTAATTAAATCTAGTAAGAACATTAACTACAACTTTTTTACAAAATAAAATAGGAGAGAAGTTGAAGAAAATTTGTGTCAATCTACAGGAGACAAACACTTCCTAAAGATAATGTGCTACAGGTAGGCAAGTACTTAGTTAATGCTTTTCATGGCAGTAATATAGTGTGTGTTTTATTTCGACAGACATTTGTGTTAAACATATGGCCATCAGAATAATGGTGACATGCTTTTGTGATACTAAAATGGGCTTAGCCTTTTGAGAAGTGATTAGTTCTAACAAAAGCCTACTTAAATTATTGTTTACCTAAATGGCATATATCCAAATTTTGCAACAGCATTACAAAAGGGTTTATTGCTTTTGAATCACTAACCAATTTTTAAACTGTTTGTTGTACAAGATAAGCACCATCAAGTTTTTTAAAGCAATTATGAAATCCGGTATTAGATTCATATTTCTTTCAGAAAATTATCCCATTAGATCAGAGCCCTGTATTGCTAACATAACAAAATTGTACATATATATATATATATATATATATATATATATATCTCTATGTAGTGTGTGTTTGTGTGTGTGTATGTGTGTATGATATGCAGTTTAAAAAGTTAACTGCAGAAAAACTGAGACTAGAAAATATCCATGTTGTTTCTGGATAAGGTACTCTAATTTTTTAACCTCACAACATAAGAAAACATTGGTGTTTTCAGCATTCAGAGGACTATTCATTTTGTTTATGTATCTGTTAGGCCAATACAACAGACCATATAATGTTTCTCCCTACTGGCAAGTCAAGGTTTTCTGTTTCTGTCCAACCGGCATGATACTCTTTGAAGCAGAAAGGAGGAAGCATTTACTACCCAAGGAAACATAACTCCACTAGATAGTTTTATTTATCTTTGCTTTAGTCACTATAGCAATGAGGGACAAGATGCTGTCAAATTGTTTTCTGCCACAGAAAGGGTTAATTTAATTAATTTAATTTAATAATTAGTGTAGTGTTTCAGTAGTGGCTGTTCTTTTTTAAGCAGCAATAGCATCACACCTATTAGATTTGAATCCTAACCACTTTTTAATAGTAGTATCAATGCTGATGTTTAGCATTTAGAAATCATTTTCCACAAGTATTCATAAAACCTGTGAAAAGAGTTTCCTGACATTCAAAGACTAACTGTGCTGGCCTGAAAGTCTGAAATTTTCATTTTTCAGAAGACAGTCCTGAGAAAAGTTGATCTGTTATATTAAAAATGAGCACCTCTTTCATCTAGATAATGATATTGTATTAGATGTTTCAAAACTGAAAGAAAAAAAGAGCATTTATTCTGAGTCACATAAACCTAATAAAGTAGAGAAAACACTGGTTTTCGAGAATAGGGTCTAAATCTGGAAAGGACCTTAGAGATCATATAATCCAACTCCCTCATTTTTAAAATAAGGAAACCACACCCCAGAGAAATTAAGTGAATTCTCTAAGGTCTCATAGATATGAGAGGCAGAGTGAACCTAGGTCCTTCACACCAAATCCACTGCTGTTATACCATACTGCAGCCTAAATTCAAATCCGTGGCTCTTCCACTTACTACTTCTGTGGGCAGACCACTTCACCTAGATGGACCTCAGTTTTCTCATCTGTAAAAGGGGTGGGGGAAGGGTGTTGAAGTAAATTCTTATTAAGGTCCCTAGCAGTTTTAAATCCTCTGATATCCTAGATTAGATGTGATCTCCAACAGACCAGGGACCATATCTTTTCTAAATTTTGCATCTCCTACAAAGCCCAGCACAGCCCAGTATGCCCAGCATACAATAGGCAATTAGCATCTGTTGAACTTTTAAAAAGCTATTCACAAGCACTGTTATAAGATACGTGAAAGATAAATAAGTGCAAAAGTTTACAAATGACATTCATAAAGATACATCAGTACTAATGAAATAGATCTCTGTTTATATTCCCTGTGTATTTGGGTTTTATAAATTTTAATAGTGTAGTAGTTGCCTTTCATTGACCTACAACAGAAGCAAAGTTTTGTTTCTCTCCTAAAACAAAAAGGGGAAACCAACCCGTGAGCAGCACTTAACTTGGTAAAGAATTCACGCATTTGACACACAACGTTGTGGCACTGACCTCTTACTTTACAGAGGAAACAGAGACTAAAAAGTTAAGTGACTTGTCCAGGATCACACGCATATTAACCATTAGAGGTGTGTGAGTGGGTGGGATTAGATTACTTGATGAAAGATTAATATTTTTGTAAGTTCAATACTTTAGGTTACCACCCTTGCATCCCAGGCAACAAACTAACACCAACCCAGTGTGAGAATGAACTAGCAGTTCAAACAATAAACTCACGGAGGAAGAAGCCATGATAAAATAGTTCAGAAGATAAAAAAGTTCAGAAGTCAACACACACACACACACACACACACACACACCGTGTGATGCATGCAAATATGTGCCCGCGATTCCGTTCCTTCGGGGGAGGCGAGCATGTTTTAGACTATAAGATTCCATTCGAATTTTTCATAGGGCAGTAGATGGTTGCTACTGACTGGCAATTCAATGTTTGCACCATCATTTTTTTTTTCCACCTTAAAAACGAGATTCAAAATTAAACCGACTTTGACATGGTCATCAGAAGACTGTGAAGAATAGCCCCGACAACATCGTATTTCCAACATTTACCAACACCCACCCACCTATCCCTATGGCTCCATACTAGACAAAATCCTTGGACCACAAGTGCCCCAGTAACTCTAATCTAAACAAAACCTGCTTGGCTTACCTTGATCCCTTGCTGTTGGGTGGTGAGAATTAACTTTGACTCATCCAAGAGCAAAACTTCGCAATAAAATTCTTCCTGAACGGCACAGAAACAACCCATGTCTGCTTTTGACGTCTGCTAGAGGAAAGCAAGAAAACAGACACTGGCTCTGGAATCACCCCCTCCCTACAAGGAGGCTCTGATCTGTATTATCCTGTGCCAAGGACAGAAAAGGGGGCAAGTAGTTCGTAGAGGATTTTCCAGTCCACAGTTCACGAAAGGCCCCAAGGACTGGTTAGGTCGTCCCTGTCTTTGGTGTCAAAAGTCACCAGGGGACCCAGAAGCTTCAGCTGAATTGCACCGGCAAGACCGACTATCCCCGCACATCCTGGGTCTCCAGCAGCAATCTTCTGAAGTCGGGTGAGGAGGAGGAGAAGGAGGAGGGGCGTAGGGGCACGGGTGAGAAAAGCTTCTCCTGCAATCCTGGGAGAAACGAATGTCTTACAGCAACTGGGGAGAAAGAAAGACAAGTGCTGGAGTCCCTCGCTGGCCTTTCTCTTCTCTCTCCTTCGACTTCCAGGGCGGACAACTAGGTCTGGTCCACCTGGCCCAAGTGAGTGAGTCCACCGGGGCGGCTTGGGCTCCTCCTCTCCCTCACATCACCCTCGGCCGCCGGTGCCCGGGCTCTGGGTTTCCGCCCCGCCCAGCGGCGGCCCAGCTGCCAGGGTGGCTTCACCTCACACTTAGGGACAGAGAATGGAGGGCGGGAGCTGGAGGCCCGTGTTTCTTTTGTGTAGGGGACACCGGGGTCTGCCAGAAAAGGGAGGCGGCCGAGGCTACGGAAGAGAGAACAAGGGGTAGCGCGGCTGGCCCAGCTCAGGTGTGCACAGGGACTGTCCGGTGCAGGCTCCCAGGTGACTGGCCTGGGGAGGGCTTGTCAGAGCCGAAGGGCGGGGGAAGCTACTCTTGTCGTCTGGCTGAGGAGCTCAAGTGCATGGTCCTGTGCCAACCTGCTCTGTCCAGGCAGGAGAAAATCTCCCGGGCTCTACGTCCGCCACAGCTCGCGGACCTGGACACTGGGAGGACAGAGCCAGCTTCTGAAAGACCTGCGGCTGTCCGGCTGCAGCGGGGGAGGACAGAAGCACCTTCCTCAGCTTCGCCCGGGGGTAGTCCCAGAGCCCGAGACGCGGGGGGACCAGCCCGGAGGCTTGCACGAGTTCCTGGGGAAAGTTCTCTCCCAGGCGAGATGGGGGCGATTCCGGGAGCCAGGGGCCCTCCCGCTGGGAAGACAAGCTCAGGATCTGAGAGCCAGGTCGTTTTTCCTGCAGCCCCAGAGGCCCTGGCTGGGAGCGGAGGACAATGAAGGAACGGGTGGCCTCTCGCCGAAGGGCTAGTCTGCAGCTGAGAGCGATGAGTCAGTCGGCCTTGTCCCATCTAAACCTGTGGTCCAGCTGGGCTCCAGGACGGTCACTTGTTCAGCTGTGACCGTTTCCAGAAGGTGAAGGCTGGAGCGAAGCAGAGGGGCAGGGTCACAGTGAATAAAGCTCAGCGCTGCACCCCAGCACTCCACGCCCTTCCAGCCTCCAGCAACAATCCTGGACCCGTGGGCACACTAGCTCTGAAGCAGCAGTGACCCCTGGTGGGTCCTGGGAATCGGGCAAAGACTGGAACAGGTGCAATTTACTGATTAAAACAGACATGTTGGAAGCAAGTTAACGAATAATCAAAGCTTTATAGGAGGAGTGAATCAAATAAGGTAGGGAATTTTTTAAAATGTGCCTCTTAACATTTCCCTAGTTAAATAGTGCCAGTTTAGCTAAATGTGTGCTCTGGGTCATAAAGGCAGAAATAAAAGAATAATAATGGAAACTTTTGCCACTTTTAACAGTTCCCTACAACACTGACTAACCAAAAAAGGCCTAACCTTTGTGGAGGAATATTTGACCCATAAAATTGAAAATAATCCTAAAAATGCATTATAAAACTGCAAACTTTTGCTTGGGTTCTACCTGATCATCCGAAAATCGCAGCCATCTTCCAACACTTAACTCCTGTGAACTTGCCAGATTTTAAATTTATTGGCAAAACCTGAATCCATGCAATAGGCACTTGATTTAAAGCAAGTTTTGCCAAACTCTGATGCACAAATAGGCACTATAAATGGTACTTGTCCATGCTTTTATATACCTTTAGAGTGTAAGATTAGACTTTTTTAATATTATTTTTCCTTTACAAAATACTATGTTTAATTACATAAGAATCATATCAGAAACCCATATAATAATTATATACAATTTCTCTAGACAACAAAAAACTCAAAGTCCTTGGTTTTTTAGGTATTTGTTTTCAAGGTATTGTGTTACTGTCACATGTCTTAAATTGTGCTACTGCCACATGCCTTAAATTCCTATAATTTCTTCATTTTCATTATCAGTAGTAGGGGAAAGAGGAGAGGAAAGATAGTTGCAGAATTTTCATACTAATAATATGATTCTCAGAGGAAGTAATATTTATTTTTAATAATGATAATTTATGTCATTGAAAAAATGTAATGAGGAGCATTGTTTTCAATGACTAATAAATTAAAGAGAGTAAACAATTAAGAAAGTCATACTGGTTAGATCAAAGATAGAGTTTCCTTCTAATGAGTAAGTTTGGGTATAGTTTTCTCTACCCTAAATAATTAATTGAGTGGAGCAAATACAGTAGAGGAAAGCCACTGTGTAACAGAGAAACAAATCAAGAAAAAATAAACCATTTTCTTACAGAAGAGAAAAATTACATTTTTCTCCAACATGTGAATAGTATAATGTATCCACATGTACCTTGTTTTCATCTTCAACATTGAAAAAAATCTTCTTTGATCAGGATGACAGTTTATGACAGTGACTATCCACATTTCCTTCAAGATGTAACTCATGTAGGGGAGCATCTTCTACACGAAGCTTTTCTTCATTCCAACTGTTAGGGTACTCCCCACCAATGTGTACTTACTTTGTATAAACACATATACACACATATATACATATATATGTACATTTTGGCTTTCCCCCCAATGATATGTAAGTTCCTTGTGAGTAGGACTTATTTCTTTTTGAATTTCTATCCCCAGTACCTAACAGAGTACCTTGCCTATACCAGGTACATAATAAATCCTGGTTCATTGATTGTTTGACTTTAGTTTGATCTATTTAAAACTTGTTACTCAGCATAGTGATATAATTTCTCTTATACTATAAATCTTTTTAATTTTGATAATAGGACAAAACCTGGTGTACTTTACATCTACTGTCTAATTAAAAGTTGTATGTAATTATAAGAGTATACATTTTCTCCATCAGTGGAGACAACACATTAGGTATCTACTGCTCTAGAATTTGTTTAGAGCCATTTTTTACAGGTATTTGGTGGAGTTTGGGGGAGAACTCAAGCAAGTCACTGCTTTTACTCTGCCATCTTCCACATTAGGTATCTAACATAACCGTTTCTGATGTGCTATGTCAGAGGTAGAAGTGACATTATAGGAAAAAAAAAGTTTGAGAGAACAATTAGATTATACAAGTATACACAGAGGAGATGTATGCTGGGTAAACACAGTTTTAATAGTGTTGAAGAATTGATTTTCAAGATAGATGAACGGGGAAGATAACTGAATGCTTGAAAAATCATACTTTCACTGAAAAAAGAAGTGATAAAAAGAACATCAATAACTACCAATCTCTATGCCTGCTTTGCCCTCTATAAAATCTTTGTGAGAATGAATAATTATGTTTTATTAAATGCCAGAAGGAACAGCAAAAATAACACTGACAAAGATTATAACAATTTTACAGAAGTTTAACTAAGTTAAAAATTAATCACCGTAACATGGAGAGGAAAATAGCCCAGAAAATATTTTAGTGAGAAAATATCTAGCTTATTTGTGGTGGGAGCAACATTTACTATTAAGAAAACTGGAAGGTTCCTGACACAGACTAGTTTGTTGTTGTTTTTTTTTTTTCTAAAATAGTAATGAAACTATTGACCTTCTGGTGATGTCCATGTATAGAATTGCCTTTTGGATTGTTGGAAAAATGTTTGCTATGATCAGTGAGTTATCTTGACAAAACTCTAGTAGTCTTTGTCCTACTTCATTTTGTACTCCAAGGCCAAATTGCCTGTTATTCCAATTATTTTATAATTTCCTACTTTAACATTCCAATCCTCTATGATGAATATGACAACTTTTTTGGGTGTTATTTCTAGAAAATGTTGTAGGTCTTCATAAAACTGATCAACTTTGACCTCTTCAGCATCAGTGGTTGGAGTATAAACTTGTATTACTATGATGTTGAATGGTTTGCCTTGGATTCAAACAGATATCATTCTGTCATTTTTGAGATTGTACCCCAGTACTGCTTTTCTCACCTTTTTGTTGCTTGTGAGGGCTACTCCTTTTCTTCTAAGGTATTCTTGCCCATAGTATTAGATGTAACGATCACCTGAATTAAATTCACTCACTTCAGTGTTTCATCTTTCCACTTCCTGTTTGACCACATCTAGCTTGGTTCATAGATTTTACATTCCAAGTTCCTGTGCAGTATTGCTCTTAATGGCACCAGACTCTCTTTGAGTCACCAGACACATCCATAGTTGAGTATCTTTTCAGTTTCGACCCAGTCACTTCACTTTTTCTGGGGTTATTTGCAGCTGTCCTCTGTCTTCCCTAGTAACATGTTGGACACCTTCTGACCTGAGGGGCTTATCTTCTGATGTTGATTTTAATAGTAACATAAGGTTCATTGGTGCAAGAAGAGGTAAAGACAGGGATAGCAGGTACTAAGATGATATCAGGGTCAGGAAACACAAAAAGATCTTTCTGTGAATCAGACTGTTTCCCACACCCTCCTCCCCTTCACTGTAGGTCTGAACATTTTTGGAATCTTTGTTTGGGTCTGCTTAGGATTAAGTTCATCCTTGTTTCTCAGGTCCCATTTTTTCTGTCTATATTCACTGGCCAGGTGTCCCTTTCTGCCACCAAAAAAAACATTCTAAAGGTTTGTGGTTCCTCTTCATTTTGGACTTGCAAGGAACTGGAGGTGGAGCAATTGCAAAAACATTCTGTGTTTCTGGTTGTGTTTTACTTTTTCTTTTAAAAATTTTTTAAAAAATGTTTTTATTTAAAATTTTGAGTTCCAAATTCTACCCCTCCCTACTTCCCTCCCCTCCCAGCTCCTTGAATCAGAAAAATCTTATACATGTGCAATTATGTAAAACATTTCCATATTAGTCATTTTGTACAAGAAGACTTGAATAAAAGAAAAAAATGAAAGAAAAGAAGTGAAAAATAGCATGCTTCAGTCTGTATTCAAACAATATCAGTTCATTCTCTGGAGGTGAATAGTATGCTTCATCATTCATTAGTCCTTTGGGATTGTCTTAGATCATTGTATTGCTAAGAATAGTCAAGTCATTCACAATTCTTCATTGAACAGTATTACTGTTACTGTGTACAATGTTCTCCTGGTTCTGTTCACTTCACTATGCATCAGCTCATGTAAGTCCAGGTTTTTCTGAAATCATCCTGCTTCTTATTTCTTATAGTGCAATAATATTCCATTACAATCATATACCAGTTTGTCTAGCCATTCCCCAATTAATGGACATCCCTTTGATTTCGCATTCTTAGCCACCACAAAATTAGCTTCCATGAATATTTTTGTACAAACAGATCCTATTAGGGCAGTGAGGTGGCACAGTGGATAGAACACTGGCCCTGGAATCAGGACGATCTGAGTTCAAATCCCACCATAGATACTTGACACTTACTATCTATGTGACCCTGGGCAAGTCATTTAACTCAGATTGCCTTGGGGAAAAGAAAACAAAAAAAGACAAATAGATCCTTTTCCCTTTTTTTTTTTTTGCTGTCTTTGGGATATAGACCTAGCATTGGTATTGCTGAATCAAAGGGTATGCAGTTTTATAGCCTTTCGAGTATAGTTCTAAATTGCTTTCCAGAATGGTTGAATCAGGTCAGAACTCCACCAACAATGCATTAATGTCCTAGTTTTACCACATCCCTTCTAGCATTTAGCATTTTCCTTTTTTGTCATATTAGCCAATCTGATGGTGGTACCTCAGAGTTGTTTTAATTTGCATTTCTCTAATCAATCATTTATTTAGAGCATTTTTTCATATGACTATAGATAGCTTTGATTTCTTTGTCCAAAACTGCCTGTTCATATTTTTTGAGCATTTATCAATTGGGGACCATGCTCTCTTAATTTGCTTATAGTATCACCCTTTATATGTAAATTATGTACCCATTTCAACCTTACCCTGGTGAATGTTGGTATATTATACCTGGTTCCTGCCATACTGTTTTCTAGTTTTCCCAACATTTTTTGTCAAATAATGAGTTTTTTGTTCCCAAAGCTTGGATCTTTGGGTTTATCATATACTAGATTACTATAGTCACTTACTATAGTGTAATTTGTACCTAATCTATTCCACCGATTTACCACTGTATTTTTTAGCCAGTTACCAAATTGTTTTGATCATTGCCACTCTATAATACAATTTGAGATCTGGTATGGCTGGACCACCTTCTTTCGCATTTTGTTTTCATTGATTCCTTTGATATCCTTGAGTTTTTGTTCTTCCAGATGAATTTTGTTATTTTTTCTAGCTCTATAAAATAAATTTTGATAGTTTGATTGATGTAGCACTGAAAAAATAGATTAATTTAGGTAGAATTATCATTTTTATTATATTAGCTTGACCTACCCATGAATAATTGATATTTTTCCAGTTGTTTAGATCTGACTTTATGTGAAAAGTATTTTATAGTTGTGTTTATATAGTTTCTGGGTTTGTCTTGGTGGGTAGACTCCCTAGTATTTTACATTGTCTATGATTATTTTAAATGGAATTTCTTTTGTATCCTGCAACTTTGCTGAAGTTGTTAATAATTTCAAGTATTTTTTAGTTGATTCTTTAGGATTTTCTAAGTGTAGCGTCACATCATCTGTAAAGATAGTTTTGTTTCCTCATTGCCTATTCTAATTCCTTTTTCTTCTCTTATTGCTATAGCTAACATTTCTAGTACAATATTAAATAATGGAAGTAATAATGGGCATCCTTGCTTCATCCCTGATTGTATTGGGAAGGCTTCTAGCTTATTCACATTACAGATAATGCTTGCGGATGGTTTTAGATAAATATTACTTATAATTTCATTACATATCATCACTTCATTACATATCATTACATATCATCAAGCTCCATTTTTCCTATGGTCTCTAGTATTCTGAATAGGAATGGGTGCTTTTTTTTGTCAAAGGCTTTTTCTGCATCTATTGAAATAATCATGATTTCTGTTAGTTTTATGATTGATGTGGTCACTTTTGCTGATAGTTTTCCTAATGTTGAACCCAGCCCTGCATTCCTGATATAAATTGTTTTACTTTTTCTAATCTCCTGTCCTTTATCTTTCTCATAAATATACAAAGCAATGCTCTTAAGTTCACTGATATTTTTCTCATTCCAACCACGACAGTTATTTAGTGAATGTCAGGCAGAGATTGGTTAGCAAAGGCAGTATTGAGAATTCTTGCATCTCTAGGGTTATTGGGTCCAGTCCTGCATATCACTTAGCACTTTTGCAGAGCCTATCATAAAATTGATAAGGGGTCTCTCCTTCCTCCTGTAGTTTCCTGAAATCTACTGCAATTATCTAGCCTGACAGAACATGTCTTCATTCTAAAGATAAAGATAAGTGCTTTTGTCTCTTGTACAAGCCTAGCAAAGTCAGCTGGAAGATTGGGTTCCCAGTTGGGATTCTGTATTGGCCGATTAGGTTGAGCTCCCTGGTTCTGACCTTGTCCTGCTGTGACCAGTCTATTTGCTGCTTCAATAACAGCAGTTTTTCTTTTTCTCCAGGGGAATAAAAGAGTGTCTAATAAATCTGCACTATCATCCCCAATTTGGATTGTAGCCTCTGAAGATTGATTGAAATTGGTTAATGATTGCAGTAGGGTTCTCATCAAATTTCGAGGTATTCCTTCTCCAAGTGGAGAGATCAGAAGGACTAAGGATGATGCATTCTGATGGATATATCCTTCTGTTGACTCATTATCTTTTCTCTGAAGGGAAAAATACCAGCAAGCGTTTTCTTATGTTTGGAATTAGATTAAGTAGGAGGGGGAGGAAAAGAGGGTAGAGCTTTGGGTTCTGGTATTGGGCATAACTATCTGATAATTATGCCCAACAAAACCAGTATTTCATTTGCCCAGGATATGACCCTTTAATTGCCATCCTTAACTTTTTGAGTATATGATAATCAAATGTTCCATATTGGGGCTGGAATGGTTTGTCAGTCAAATATCTGGTAGTCTTAGCCCAAATTTTGCTCAATTCAGTCATTCCTGGCTGAACTGGCAATTTTCCTTGGTCCTGGGCTTTTTATAATTGCTCTAATGGGGACCCAGCTGGGATAGTATTAGAATTTCCCACTATAAATTGTCTAGGGTTGTGCTCTCTTGTTTAGATCATTTAAGGAGGTGCTTTTTTTTTTTTGATGTGATCAATGTGCTATAAAATTTGTAAGGTCTTGCTCTGTTTATCATAGAAAATTAATTACTTTAGATCTGGACTTATTCATTTATTCAATAGACATATATTAAATGCAGATAAGACAGTACACAAAGTCAGGCCTGAAAGGAACAAAAATAAAAGCAAAAACAAAGATATATACACATACACATACACATACACACATACTCACTTATATATAAATAACATAATTTTTTCTAGGAGATTTAGAAATCAGCATCTTACCTGTCTTGTCTATTAAATTTATAACTTGCAATAGATAGTAAGGGCAGGATTTTCCTCACCAGTAGGAGAAAGTCTTCAGCCTGTGGCTAGGGTCCTGCTGCTTACCTAAGATTATTTTTCCTATTTCCTAATTATAATAATGTATTCACAATTGTATCAAGAAATAAGTTTAACTTGGTAATAATGTGAATTTCTTTTCATCTAATTTGCCAATTTGATTCACCCATTTAAAGTGCATTTTTAAAAGCAGGTAAAGATTTCTCATACTTTAAGAGATTTGAAAGGTACCTGATGAGGAATTCATGACCCTCAACTTTTTTTCCCAAATGAATTTGGGTACCTACTTCTTGAGGGTGAGATGATGAGATTAGCTGAAGCCTTTCTGGAAGTGATAAGATTAACATTTGCTGGACAATGAAATCAAAACTCTGAGCTACCAGCCTTGCCTGTGCATCCCTGATTGCATCTCCCTACCCATAGGGCATGATTCCTCTATAAAAATCCCTAGCTTCTCCTGGCTGGTTGGCCTTCTCCCTTAAGCTGCTGCCTTCCATAAGGGGCTGCTATCTACCCTAAGGAGAAAGGCACACTGGGTGAAACCTCAAATAAACAGCTTTATTTGATTTGAAGACAGCCTGAGCTTGAATTCTTTTAAGATGACACCAAGACACACCCCCTTGCACCTCAACATTTTGGTGGCACCTCAACAGTACCTATTTATAATTTAAAAAAAAACTTTTTACAGAAGGTCTTTTCTTCTCCATTAGTGTGAGGGAAAACTTCTCTAGTAGAGAACTCTTTCTAAAACTTTTTCTTCCTTATTAATGTAGAGAAGATGACTTTTCTTAACAAACCTGTTCTTTCCCAAATTGGAGGCTTACCGTAGACTAGAAAGAAAATGGTTCTGAACTGAGGACAGTCCAAATCTCCAAAACAGCTCTCTCTTGGGAAGTCCCTCCATGTACAGTCTTCACCAGAGAGCTGTCAGGGATGTTCCTCAGAGAGGGCCACTCATGGATGCCTAGAGTCAGTCCCTTATGTCCATTTGACGTCGCTAGTTGTAAAATTAATTATCTGAAATAAAATAAACGTAAGGCAAAAATTTCCAAGTATATTATTGATGGGATTGAGATCTGGACCCCAGAAAGGAAAAATCCAGAACTTTCCCACGTGGCCAAATCTATGGCATTTGCCTGAGGCCATAATCCCATCAACTGGCTTTTTATTGTGGCTACACCCAATCTCCCACAAATTTACAATAAAATTTAAAATTTCAGATGCATCATTTTAAAAAATATTTTTTTTGAAATGTTGCAAATTAAAAAGCAAACAAACCATTGAAGGGTTAATGAAAGTAGATTTCCAGGGGGGTGCTGAGTAATTTTTTTTAAAAGGGGCAGTAGGCCAAATAAGTTTGGGAACCTCTGCTCTAAATTATCTGTACCAAATGATAAGGAAAGATATAGGTCTTATCAATCTATTCACTTAATCTATAGGTATTATTTAGGCTAATGGGAATGCTTATGTTGGCTTATCTTAGCTGTTAGGGCTAGCTTTTTTCCAAAGAAGGAGACTTTATCCTTTATTTAAGATAAATCAAAGTAACTTAACCTTTTGAGAGAGTCCTATTAATAATTGGTTTCATCTTATGCTTATTGTATTATTTTAAAGATACAAATATATTCTAAATTATCTATCAATAAATGATAATTACTAATAGAGCTTAATCAATTTATTACTTTCTTCACTTTGAAATTAGTGGGATCACAGATTCATTTAAATATGTCAGACATTAGGGTAGGCACTGGGAACACAGACAAAAGTGACAAAAGAAGCTAAGGGAAACATTGAAATATGAAAACAAACAAGTTTATGAGGGAGACATGGGGTCCAGAGAGAAAAAGGAATAGGTTCTTGCCAGTCAGAGAAGGGAAAGATGTTTTTTAGCCTTCATATACATGTGGTCCAAGGTTCACACAGTGAGTTTGCAGTGACACAGTTCTTTGTAGATGTGCTGATGAAATTTGGGCATGTCCTCAGTATTTGATTCAAAAAAGTAAATGTTACCTTTTAAAGACTTTCAATAATATCTCTTATGCATGTATTAAAATAAAGATTTCTGAAAATATGCAACAACATAGATAATTCTAACAACTTTCTGTTAATATCAAGGCAGGCATGAAAGAAGAAGACCTGTTCTGAAGGAATTCTGAAGGAAGCTGAAGGAATTCCTCACTGGGAAATCAGTTGGTCAGGAAGCTACACTGCTGCCATGACATTCAAAGACAGTAGCAAGACATCTGTGGAACCTGAAGTGGCCATTCACCAAATTTGAATCACCCTCAATGTTCAGTTGCAAGGTTAAATCCTTCCAGAAGGTGTGCACTGACTTAATTAGAGGAGCCAAAGAAAAGAACTTGAAAGCAAAAGGACCTGTTTACATGCTCACTAAGATACTTCTGAATCACAACCTGAAAAATTCATTGCTGTGAAGTTTTAAAGATTTGATATAAATTCCAGATAAGAATCCACAAACTGCTTCATTGATGTGTGTAGTCTTTCTGAGATTGTTAAACAAGAAATCATTTAAACAGTAGATCACTTCTAGCAGCTTTGAACCAAGTGTAGAAGTTGAAGTCGCCATTGCAGATGCCTTGTGAAGACTGCTACTTCTCCCTTCCCTCTTCCCTCATCTCAAGAGACTGAAAACTCCTGTAGAAGACAGCATTTTAGTGGTAACTTGAAAGAAGCCAGGAAATCCAGGAAGTGGGGATAAAGATGGAGAGCATTCTCGGCATGGGAGACAGCCACTGAAAGTGCCTGGAGTTGGGAGGTAGAGTGTCTTTTTAAGAGAAGCAACAAGGAAAACATGGGGGGGGAGGGGGAGGCAGTGTAAGGTAAATGAAGACTGGAAAGATGAGGGGGGATTAGGTTCTAAATGACTCTGAATGTCAAAAAGAGGACTTATCTTCTAGTAGATAGAGAGACACCGGAGTATATTGAGTAGAATGGGTGACATGGTTAGACCTGTGCTTTAGATCAATCAATTTCGTGGCTAAGTGGAGGATAGATTAGAGTGGTAGGGACTGGTGGCAGGTAGAGTACCTGACAGACTATTACCCCATTCGTGAAAACCTCTATTCTGTTATAAAGACTTGACAAAAAAAAAAAGAGCCATTCCCCAAATTGATAAATTATCAAAGGATGTGATCAGTTTTCAGATGAAGTAATCAAAGCTATTTATAACCCTATGAAAAAAATACTCTAACTCATTATTGATTGGAGAAATACAAATTAAAACAATTCTGAGGTGTGACCTGTTAGATTAACTAATAGGACAGAAAAGGTAAATGACAAATGTTGGAGGGGATGTGGGAAAAATGAGACATAAATGCACTGTTGGTGGAGTTGTGAACTGATTCAACCATTCTGTAAAGTAATTTGGAACTATGTGCTATAAAACCATGCATATCCTTTGACCTAGCAATACCAGTGCTATATCTGTATCCCAGAAGAGATAAAAAACAAAAAGGAAAGGAACCTATATATACAAAAATATTTATAGCATCTATTTTCTGGGGGCAAAAAATTAGATATTGAGGGAATGCCCATCAATTGGGAAATGGCTGAACAAGTTGTGGTATATAATTATGATGGAATACTATTGTACTCTAAAAAATGATGAGTGGGATACTCTCAGAAAAACCTGGAAAGATTTGCATGGCCTTATGTGAAGTAAAGTGTACTGCGTACTGAGTAACAGCAATGTTATAAGATGATCAGCTGTGAGTGACTTGGCTATTCTCAGCAATACAACGACCTAAGACAACTCTGAAGGACTTAGGATCAAAAATGCTATCCATCCCCAGAGAAGGAACTGATGGTGTCTGAATACAGATTGAAGCATGTTTTTTTTACTTTATTTTTCTTGAGGGTGGGGTTTTTTTTTTGGTCTATGTTTTCTTTTACAACATGATCATTATAGAAATGTTTTGCATGACTACACGTGTATAACCTCTATCGAATTGTTTGCCTTCTTAGTGGCAGTGGGGGAGGTGGGGAGAAAGGAAGGGAGAGAATTTGGACCTCAAAGTTTTAAAAATGAGTGTTAGAAATTGTTTTTACATGTAACTGGGAAAAAATAAAATACTAAACCAAAGGTTAAAAAAAAATGAACAATTTAAATAAAAAGAAAAAAGAAAAACCTCTATTCTGAGGGCTAATCTTGAGTTAGTTTCCTCTCATCCTAAATAGGGAAGAACTATAGATTCCATGACTTTTTGTAGTCATACTCCCATGACAAGAGTCTTTAACCCAGGGAGAATCTCATCCACTCATGTCTGTCAGACTTGAGGGTGGGAGGTACCTGTCAAAACTTGAGCAACCAGACTGAAATGAAAAGATATTTATTAGTACACTAAGGAAGATTGCTCTCTGGTTGTAGTCTCAGTTTCTTTGGGTATAGATTGAGTTTTTACAGTTTTTTAGACTCAGAGTATACAACCAATCAGCAGCATTCTGCAGCAGAAAATAAATGGGGGAAACATGCAAAGTTTGGGGTAATGGAAGTTGCTAAAGGTCAAGTCTGTTCCTTATTTTAGGAAATGCATTTCTTTGTGGTTAGTCTTATCAGAATTTATAGGAAGTCTCTAAGATGGTAGAGATCTCTTTTAAAAGGGAGCCATTCTTGTTCATCCCGTTGTTGCCATTAAGGAGGGTAGTAAAGTGTAAACCCAACAGTTCTGTTTCCTTAGTCTCAAAGGTTACTCTCACCAGGCGAAACATGTTTTCCCCAAACTCACAGTAGGCAAGTTCATCCATCTCCAGAAGCCCCAGGCCTTAGCTTAGCTGACACCTAGAAAGTACTTAATAAATGCTTATTTATTTGACTTGACTCAAATAATACGCAAAATTTATAGAAATATAACCACAGCTACCTGCTTAGACAGCTGTTTCTTTGTTGTTAAATTAAAAGTGACCAAGTTCATTATTATTTTCACGCACAAGTAACTCCTCAAATTGCGTTCCATACTTGCTTAAAATCTTCAAAGGCAACATTAGTCAGATGAGCCATGGGCCATGAGCAGAAAGACTCAATCTCCTACCATTTACTTTGTAATAGACAAAGAGGTATTATTTTCAGGTTGGTTAAAACTCACGTCAAATTCCAGAATGAAGTAATGATGGTCTTTCTGTTGTTGAAAGTAAATAGAAAAGAAGCCAACTTTTTTCTTTAATAGACATTTTCAAAATTTAAAATTAAACTTTAGAATTGGTATTATTTTTAATCTAAATCATTCTTAGCATATTCAAATTAACTGAATCCAAATTAAAATTTTAGAAAGTCTACCCACTTGATCCCAAGTGGGAATTGTCAACTGCCCTTTCTTTTCCTCTAGGAGTTTCACCTTCCAGTTCCCTATTTACTGTAAACCTCATTTACTTTACAATATTGAAGACTAGGTATGATATTACATATTAGAAAATTAAGGAGTTTTGACTTTATCAGACTGGGGAACTTGCTCTACTAATCATTCTATGATTTAGTAGTTAAGCCCTAGGAAGTTGCCAGCAATAAGGGAAGTCAAGCTCAGTTTCACACATCTTGTAGGGTGAGAGGTAGAATTGGAACTCAAGTCTTTCCTGATTTAAAGCCTATCATTATCTATTAGGCCACGCCGCCTCTACCATGCTACAAATACAGATAATTTTTATAGTAATTTAGGAAATAGAAGACATAGAAACAGTTATATAGAGTATTTTAATTTGCCAATCCAAATTCTCTCATCTTAACATTCTTCCTGGCTTGTATAATAGATTCAAGTCACATGCAATGCCACTCTCCAAAGAGTTAAAATTGCAGATCATTCAATAGGTAATGGAGAAGGATGTGGTTTGCACAGAAGTGGTATGAAGGATATCGTCAGAGAAATATATGATCAGAAAAGGAAGTGAGATGAGAGATAATTAAGGAATAGTCCTTGCAGTCCATTGGTATTCATATCTCCAGAGTTTAGGTGTGTGCTGGAGTCATCTGGAAAAGCTCAAGAGGGCTGATTATTAAATATTCAGTTTAATCTTTGCACCTGAAAAATTGGCAAGTGCTACAAATCAGGGCTTGATAAACTGTTTTGTTGATTGTCTAGATTTAAGAAAGTGATGGAAAAATGTTAATAATGCAAATTAAACTTAAAAGTGGGTCAAAATATACTTTTTTGGGGGGGAGGGGGCAGAACTGGTTGTTAAACATTTACCAGCAAATCCCTGTTTGAGTTCCACTGGTATTTGTATCTCTAGAACATTAGGAGGAATTCATGGGAGGATATGGACAGCAATTGCTCAGGATAAGAAGGATGGTGGATTGTGATGTGCACTGCAGAAAGGGCATCAATATCAATGTAATCATAGCTCCACTGAAATATTGAAAACATATGTCATAATGAAGAAACCACTGAAGTGAGAATTAGGGAACCTAGCTTTGAATCCTGTATCTGTTATCAAAGGCTATTTCACCTTGGGAAATATCTTTTACCTCTCTGGGTCTCAGTAAACAAAGAGGTTGAAATAAATGGTCTCTAAGGTCCTTCCCAACTTGGAAATTTCCTGATGTTATACTGCTGAATTATCACAAAATTATTGGGAGATGACTTAGAGAGGTTTTTGCTGAATTCTTGTTATCCTTTTATAACTGAAATAATCATATCATTTAGAGAGGTTAAAAGACACATCCAAAGACAAAAATTAATCACTAAGACAATTAGAATATACCCAGGTCTTATACCACCCCACCTAGTATTTTTCCTATGATATTCAATATTTCATTCTAAACATCAGTCCAGGTCTTTCCCTGCCTAGCTTTTAGCTATCACTTTCTCTCCTCACCTTTTCCCCAACATCCTGCCCATACTCCCTAATTCTGGTTACATCTCCCCATCAATCACCTTTCCTTTAAAATTGCCTTGTATTTTATTTTGTAGATACTTGTCTGTGTACATGTTGTCTTCCCCAATAGAATGTAAGCTTCTTGGGGGCAGGGACTGCTCTATATTTATTTTTTTATGCCTGGCAAATTGCAGGCACTTAATAAATACTTATTGCTTCTTTGATATATTAAGTGATCAAATCTTGGCATTTGTTGAAATTAATTTTGTGTTGGTGTTATCTACTCTTCGTTAATCTGCATTGTAAATTAATTAAATTATAAATAAATAATTAAAATAATTAGATAAAATAAATCAAATAAATAATTAAAAGGATTTGTTTTGTGAGGTTTGGATTCAGTCAAAGGGCTGCACTTGAGGACCTACAGGGCCCATGTGGCCTCGAGGCCTCAGGATCCCCACCTCTGGGTTAGGTTACCATGGTAACTTAGTTAGTCATGAAGATGCATTCCATTGTAAAATGGAAACTAGTCCTCCTGATTCTAGTCTTTCCACTACACCGCACTGCCTGCCTTTATGATTTTATGAAGTTTAATTTATAGCACATATCAATTATGTAAGGCACCTTAAAGCACTATAATGTATAAAGAAAGAAATACAAACTCAATTATATGAAAAATACAACTTCACTGTAGACAGGAAGGGTTATGATGTGGTATTTGGTAGTTGATGGGGATAATAGGGAATAGTGGTGGTAGTGGGTGGATCAGTAATATTTTTTGCTGGCTAAAATACAGCACTAAACTATATGGTTGTTCTGCTGGCAGTAAACATCATAATAAAAGCAGGAACATGAGTCACCTGGGTGAGGAACAATCCATCAATCTATATTTTGGCCAATGCCAAGCTGGATGCTGCCTTGTCAGAGATGAGTAGCAACACTAATTAAATATGAGTCAATATTTAACCCATGGCCCAGAGGGGTCCCCCACCCCGGATTATATCTGTTCTCAGGATCCTATCCTGAAGGGTCAGTTTTCTTGTTTTATTGCCAAGAAAATCTCCAAATATAGCTTAAAAATAGCTTGAGTCTAAGTTTCTTTAAATGTGGTTAATGCAATCATCACTTGCATATAAACACTGCAGGTAATACATGCAAATTGGGCATAGGACAGACTATATTTTACTCCCAAGAATATGCAGAATACATGAAGCCTACAAATAGATACAGACTGCATCTGGAGCTCAGCCCATAAAATCACCTTCCAAGGCAGCTGAACTTGCTCCTGATGTCAGGGCAAGCCTTCATGAGTCCTTTTCCACAAGGAA